TCCATTCCACAAGAAATGGATCATGTGGGGTGCATTTATATACATGACAAGAAACACTGAGTGCTTACCACATGCCAGGCAGCCCTGGAGGGACTGAAGAGAAAAGGAAACTTGATGGTTGAAACCCCTGCTCTCATGGAGCTTTCATTCAAGTGAGGGGAGAACAAATAAGTAATAAAAAATAAAGTAGTTTAAGATAGCAGTAAAGTAGTATAAGGAAAATAATGCAGGATAAGGGGATAGACAAAACAGGGGAGGAAGGAGAGAGGGCTCTTCTAGATTGAGGGTGGGAAGGTTCTCTGAGGAGAGGTCATATGAACAGAGGCCTGAGCCAAGGGAAGGAGGAAGTCAGCCAGCCACCTAAGGATCTGGAGGTGTGGGTAGAGCAGGATGGCACAGGGTCAGGAGCCAGCCAGGCCCCCTGGAACAAGACAAGAAATCCGGTGAGGCTGGATTGGGGTGATCTGAGATGTGAGAAGCAGGGGGAGATCAGGTAATACTGGATGTTGTAGGTCACATATCTGGATCTCATTTATTCCACCAACAGTTCTATGGAGTACATGGTATTTACAGAGGAAAACACTAAAGTCTAAAATGATTATACAACTTTCTCTGCCCTTATGAAATCTCACCATTTAGTTGTGCAAGTTTCATATTCTATATTCTTGCCGTCAACTGAAAACACAGGTCAGTTAAGGAGAAAATGAAAATGATGGAGAAGAGCTCATAGAAGAGCCCATGTTCTCCTCTTCCCTATCCCACCCCCACCCCCACCACCAAGAACTACTCTTAAATAGTGCTAAATGAGTAGAAATCTGAATGAGGTCTCAGGAAAATAAATGCAGTGTCCAACCCTCCCTGGCCACTGTAATTCTTTTGCACCTCCCCAAAACTAGAAATACCATCCCCAAAACTGTTATCTCCTCCGTCCCAGTGACCATTATTTACATCACAGATATCCTTCTGTGTCCAACCACATTAACAGTGCCAAGAAAGCTTTAGAAAACAGGGAATCTTGTTCCCTGGCAAAGCCAGGGGTGGCAAATACGTCAATTCTAGTCTACTCTAGATATTCCCTGTATTAATCCTGTATTTAGCCAATTCAGCAAAGAGGAAAAATAAACCACAGAATTTCATAGAATATATTCATAATAGCCCTGACACTAAAATACAAAGGACTTAGAAATGTTTAAAATGCTTACGCAGGGATCCCTGGGTGGCGCAGCGGTTTGGCGCTTGCCTTTGGCCCAGGGCGCGATCCTGGAGAACCGGGATCGAATCCCACGTCAGGCTCCCTGTGCATGGAACCTGCTTCTCCCTCTGCCTATGTCTCTGCCTCTCTCTCTCTCACTGTGTGACTATCATAAATAAATAAAAATTTTAAAAAAATAAAATAAAATGCTTACGCAGAGCAGCCCGGGTGGCTCAGCGGTTTAGCCCCGCCTTCGGCCCAGGACCTGGGATCGAGTACCACATCGGGCTCCCTGCAGGGAGCCTGCTTCTCCCTCTGCCTGTGTCTCTGCTCTCTCTCTCTGTGTGTCTCTTATGAATAAATAAATAAAATATTTTTAAAAAATGCTTAGGCAATGCCTTCAATTGGCCTTCTCCAGAGAATCGTGAGGGCTGGGAGTTATCCAGCACAGACAAGGTCTACAAAGGCAACATAGTACCAAGGTCAGGAGTTTGGGCTCTGGAGACTGACTGACTTCAGAGGGTGGTTATAAGGGTTTAATATAGTACTTTACGTAAAATGCTTAGTATAATGCCCAGTGCATAGGAATAACTAAAAACCAAGCTATTATAACTATTTTCATTTTTGCACAGATAAATAAACCCCAGACCCTGCCTCAAGGATGGTGAAGTAATTAACATCACTAAGAATACTGCTAAATAGAGATGCCAAGAACAAACTCCAAGGGTGTAGAGGAGCTAGGGCCACATATCAAAAACATATTTACTGAGCACCTACTCTGGGCTTGATACCATAGTTGGCCAGGAATATAAATGAGGTTGACAATATGACCTATGTCCTGGAGGAATTCATTATCACTTTCCTTTCACCCATGGATGGTTCTGAATCAACCAAGTAGTTCATAAGTACCCATGTCTAGTGTCACGCAAACACAAATGGAGTTCCTGGTTTAAAAGATAGCTCTGGTGTTAGTTTATTTTTTTTTAATTTTATTTATTCATTCATGAGAGAGAGAGAGAGAGAGAGAGAAAGAGAGGGAGAGAGAGAGAGAGGCAGAGACACAGGCAGAGGGAGAAGCAAGCTCCACGCTGGAAGCCCGATGCGGGACTTGATCCCGGGACTCCAGGATCGCGCCCTGGGCCAAAGGCAGGTGCTAAACTGCTGAGCCACCCAGGGATCCCCAGCTCTGGTGTTAGAACATACAACCCACCTAGGGAGATAAGACTCAACCAGGAGAAACAGTAGGAAAACAAGCTAAGTGTGAGAGGGTGTGGGGGCAGGGTATAAATGTTGCAGGAACCAGAGACAAGAGAATCACGGGGGCCAGAGATCTAGAAGGACTTCATTAAACAGGGAACAGAGAGTAAGGTGTCCTCCTCAGCACAGTGAGTAGGTCTCCATCCAGAACTGGCAGTCTGCTTAGCTAGTAAAATGGTGCTGCTATTAAAGAAATTGAAATATAACACAGAGGTACATAAACAGAACTTGCATGAAATGAAATCCGTTTCATATAAGACAGCAGGATGTAGTAGAAAGAGCATGGACTCAGAGCCACAAGGTCTCAGTGATTACTGTCTGTGAAATCTTGGATAAAATTACTCTTTCTGAAATAAATAAATGTTTGTGAATAAGCGAAATAAATAGAAATTAAATTACCATACCCTGTTTAAATCAGGTACAGCTCTATGGACAGTAAAACTATTCTCTGATCCTAGCAGAGAAAATGTCTATGAAATGAAAAAGGGGTTACTTGTAATTCATGTCAACCAGGGGAGTCAAAGTGGAATTGGCTGGTGTTTTAGGGAAAACTTAGCTATAGACTTCCATTTAAATCCATAGCCATCTCAACTGAATACTTGCAAGAAGATCCATGGATTTCACACAACCACACGTGTGATGTTCAGAACATAATTCAAAACTCAACTCTTGATCACCTACTATGTGTCAGACACTGGGATAGGCACCATATAGAAATAGATGAAAAAGACAACGTTCCTGTTCTTTTGGCCCTTTGGAGTTCCATTCTAACAGGTACCAGAATCCCTTCTACCACTCACTACTCGACAGCATAGACTTCAAGCCCTGAAACCCCCAGCCATTGCTTCTAGGTCAGTCTTGACTTCTCCAACTTGAGAACCTTTCAAAAGAGTAGAAGATGGAGGTTTGCCAGCTGTCTTATTACCTTCATCTCACCCACCCCCAAGGCAGTCCAATTGGATTGCTCTTCCCCAAACACATTACTTGCTCCCCCATACCTAGCCATGTCTAGACTTTTTATTTCAGAAAGACCTTCATTTCCCCACACTCATTTCTACATAATCCTGATCACCTACCTAAAACGACACCTGCAGGTCTCTGCCTGCTAACCTGTATTACTTTATTTAATAGTTCATTAGCTTGTTATTTATATGCCCTGCTGGAGTGTGAACTGTGTCCCCAGCACCTACCGCAGTGCCTGGATGAAGTAGGTACTTAATCAATTTTTGTCAGAATAAATGATAGAACATACAAATTCCATATCACTTTATACCTTTCTGACAATACCTGTCCCTTTTGACATGGTAATATTTTTATGCATACTTATATACTTATATACTTTATACTTATATAAATAAAATGTAATCCCTACATAGTAGGAAATTCCTTGAGGAGTTTGTCTTTGTATCCTCTGATACTCAAGATAAAGCATTTCCTTGGTTAACAACTGGTGAATGAATAAATGATGTTGTCCCTTGGCTAAGACCTGTAGAATAAATAAGTAATATCATCCCTTCCTCTTCAGGCATCTTAACCGTGACTTTGTCAAACCTCTACCTCAATCCTCAGAAATCTGAACATATTTGACTGGTAACATGGAAAAGTTAAGCGCCCCTTTAACCACATTTCTTCTGCTTATTTTTAAGAACTGTACTTGACCACCAAGTTTAAAGGCTATTTTTCCCCATCTAGCAAACCATTACTTGCAAACAACTATCAATTTCTTGGGGGTAAAAAAGTGAATCAAACCTTTAAAAAGCATGCACTCTTCTAGAGTGCACCAATCTCTGCTTGCTGTGGGTATAAGCTATTTTTATCAGGTGATACTGTGATATTCCTTTTCAGCACATGATATTCACTCTTTCAAGCTGTTCGGCACTGTTCTATTTGGTTTCATGTTACATCAATGAGACAGTTTGAGGGAAAAGGAAAAATGGGACATGCTATATTTAGTAGCACCACTAAAACCCTAAATAAAAACTACCCAATCTACATCCAGGACCCTACCTTCCAACCCAAGATTAAGGCCAATTAGGAAATGCCTTTATCCAAAAAGTATTTTTGCTAAGAATGTTAATTACAGAAGGCCATGTGCAGTGTCTCTAAAACTTTAAGGAGTTAAAAGACATAAAAATCATAGAGGGGCCAAAAGACTACAATATGTATTTTGTATTTTCATAGCATTTTTACTCTGGGAAATATCAGCCTAATTATATCTTAAAATAATAACACATCTGGTTACACATCTGGACATGCTGAGTTTGAGATGGTCATGTGACAGCTACAAAGCACTGATTAACAAGCCCTAAGAATAAGACTCTGGAAGATTTAGGCAGGAATATCAATGTCCCTACATAAAGGTAGAACGTGAAACCATGAAAGTAAATAAAACGACCCTGGAAGAGTCAGAACAGTAGGCTGAGGAGGAAACCTTATTGCCCAAATGTTAGCCATCACTGTGTGCTGGAAGGGTAAGAAAAAGATTTCAACAGAAGCATGTGCCTGAGATAGTAGGTAGCAGCAAGTAAAGGCTCAAAAATACTTAACTCACAGTCTCATCATAAGACTCGGTACTTTCAGGCCAAAGGTCTTTGTAATCTGCAAACCACGGTACAAACATTTGTTCTTATATTTCTAGAAGGAACATAAAGGTAGTATGGTAGAGCAACTGCCACAATCTTCAACCCTCCGTGTATCCATGCCCCTTGCAATGTGACCTTGTAGATCTTCTTCTCAAGAGATGTCGTCTATTCCCCATGCCTGTATCTGGGCTGGCCTTATGATCTGCTTTGGCCAATAGAATGCAGTAGAAATCCCGCTGTGTCAGTTCTTGCTTACTTTCACTCTCCCTTGGATTCATGCCCAGCTGTCATGTGAACAAGCCCTGACTGTCCTTCTAGAGAAAGAAAAACTACATAGAACACAGCCCCGTGAGCCCCATCAAGGCCATCCTGGGATAGCCTATCGCTCACTGACCCCACACATGTGAGAGAGCCCAGCCAAGATCACAGACCTGCCTACCTGCCCTAGAACTGACCGCAAAGGTATGAATGAGCACAGCTGACATCAAGAGAACTGCCCAGCTGATCTGTATACCCATGAGCAATAAAAAACACTCATTGTTTTAAACCACTTAGTTTTTGAGTAGTTAATTATACAGTAATAGGTAACTGATGTAAGTAGCAATAAAAAAACCCAGCCTAGGGCAGCCCAGGTGGCTCAGCGGTTTAGCCCCGCCTTCAGCCCAGGGCCTGATCCTGGAGACCTGGGATTGAGTCCTGCGTCAGGCTCCCTGCATGGAGCCTGCTTCTCCGTCTGCCTATGTCTCTGTGCCTCTCTCTCTCTCTGTGTCTTTCATTAATAAATAAATAAAATCTTAAAAAAACCCACAGCTTATCTAGAGTTCTGTGCCTGGCATTGTGTTACTAAGCACCTTACAGGGGTTGTTTCACTTGCTTCTCCCAATAACTTTATGCAGTAAATATTACAATTTTCATTTTATAGATTACAAACTTGTGGCACACAGAGTTTAAGTTGGCTTGCCCAGTGTGGCACAGCTAGCAGACAAGGAGGCCAAATGGAAATAAGGCAGTCCAACTCCAGAGCAGGACTCATTCCAAGAAAGAGGATCTTCTACTTAATCCAACAAATAAGCAACTTTTTCTAGTCTTTTCTATGATAAATAATTTGCCCTAACCTTTCCCTGTCCTTCTGATTTTTCCAACACAAAGAACCATTTTTATGATGAATAACAGTAACAGCAGTGATTTCATTACTGATACATTATCTCATTTGATCTTTAAACAAACCTGTGAAGTTCATGTCATCAACTTTGTTTTAAAAAGAAGAGAAAAAAAGGTAGAGGGGGAGGCTCAGAGAAACCAACCTACCTCCCTAAGTCACACAGCCTGTGAGCAGCCTAGCAGAGCTGGAACTCCAAGTCCAATAGTTCCAGAGCCCAGGCTCATGCTGCCTAGCTGCTCTTTTGAACCACCTCTGAGTTCTCCAAGCAGTTCAATCTTTCCTGCAGTTCATTTGCCCATGGCCCCATTGTTTCATTTAGCAAATATATACCAAATACCTCCTATGTCTCCAGCCATAAGACTGGCTCTTGAGGAGGCTTCAAGCAGTTAACATCATGTTCTCTGCCTTCAAAGAACTCAGAGTTAGTGTGGGATGCAAGACTGAAATTTACAGAAAGCTAAATGGTATAATAAGAGACAAAATTTAAGCGGTATTAGTAATTGTCAAATAAATGGAATAAATAGATTCTAGAGTTCAAAGGGAAGTGAGAGAAGCATAGACTAGCAAGGCCTCACATGAAAGGGACCATGAAGATTGCCCAGGATGAGAGTTCCCTGTAGGAGCACGGTCTTCCATTGCTGTCGGTATGTGATTTTTGTCAAAGGATTGTCATGGTGATGATATCTTCAAGATAGCCATGTGGAGACTATTCAAATCTGGTGGGTTCAGACAAGGGTAATTCCTTGTATGTGGGCAAAGAAGACTCATCTGAGGGGCACCTAGCAGGCTCAGTCCATAGAGCGTGTGACTCATGATCTTGGGGGTGAAAGTTTGAACCCCATATTGGGCTCAAAAAAAGAAAATCTTGGGGGGAAAAAAAGACAAAAAGATTCACCTGAGAGTCCCGACATATCCAAAACTTGAAAAGGCTGATAATTGGATTCTGGAAGCTTGAGGCAACTATCAGGTCATGACAATCAACAGATCCAGAAAACAGTAAGTCTATACACTGTCTAGACCAGTCACATTGGGTAGCAAAAATGATGGAAAAAAGGACCAAGAAGAAATGAAAGCCATCCTTAATATGTACAAAAGGTCATCAGCTTGTATTTCAGCTTTTGGAGGCCAGGGAAAAAATAGCTACCAATAAAACACCTGCACTTGGAAAAACCCAACCTGTTTCACTTCCAGGTTGTTTTTTTCTGTTCTCAGTATCTAGGAGAGGCCCTCCTGGTTCTAATATAATCAAACTTCGCAGGTTACCTCTTGCCATCTAAGCCCTTGCATTCTATAGTGCCCTGGCTACATCATGATGCTTGCATTTTCTCAGCTCATGTTGCTCTATCACACACCCATGCTGCTCCTGGCCTCTGTGGCTTTGCACAGGGCGATTCCTTCTGCTGGATCTCTCATCTCCTCCATGTACCCTACATAATCCTGATTCCCTTCTTCCACTACCTAATCCCAATTTTTTCTTCTTCCTTGGTTTAAACCTTTCAGTTTGAACAGAGGTAAAATAGAAAGCCCCATGGGGGGAAAAAATCAACACCATAAATGAGAAAAGAGGCTGGTACAGGGGCCTAAAAGCTGGATGGCGTCAGTGGTTCCAGCTACAGGGGCAGGTTCTAACATTTAATAGTGTAAGAAAAGGAAAGACATGTGATAATGAAATAACTCTCACCAGAAGCCCAAGCTACAATGTCATGGGATCCCTACAAAAGCAGGTAGACATGAAAGAGGAAAATGCTTCACTGCTGACTGGAGAGAGGTGAGCACCTGAGATCTGGAGGTATGAAAAATGGCAACAAACTCAAACTGGCAGGAGAAAGAGCAGATGCTCCAAGAGGTCTTGGGGAGAACAGTGGTTGGGTGATGAGATAAGCAAAGCAAGTCTTAGTAGTAGATTATTGTAAATGCTTACAAAGGAACAGAAATCTAAAGACAGTCGCCATAGAGGAAGCTGATAAACCAGAAGGTCACATCATGTAGGCGTTTCCAACAGCTGTGGGAGCACAGTAGAAAGGTAAAGCAGCTTTATAGTAACAAACAAAGCAGCATGCAATGGCCAGGAAATATGGTGAGAGGAGGCATCAAAGGAGAAGAAGTAGAAATGTAATTAGCAGGACATATTTATATGATTATATTAGTAATAATAATAAAAATATTCAATTTGTAAAAGGTTTACTCAACTACCAAGCATGTATCAATGATAGGCATTATTTCATTTGCAAGAAAAAATAGCTTTTGAGGAGCCCATAGAGACATAAGAGAGGGACAGAACTGACAGCATGCCATTTGGTACATGGGAGACTATAGATACCCTGGACTTATTGACAAAGACAAAAAGTGACCTCATCTAAGATCCATAAACTGGAGGGGATATTTGTTTAGAACCCAATTAACCTGCCAGAAGGAAAACTCCTTGAGGTCAGAGACTGCCTCTCACTCACCACTATGAACAGCACTTAGCACTGTGCCCAACACACAGAGGACACTGTAGATACGTGTTGACAGACTCAATAAACAAATGGAAGGATGGATGGATGGATAAAAATATCAGCCTAACATATCCACATCACAAACAAGATAGAAAGCATTTGTCTATGTTTAAACCTAAATTTTAAAGGAGCAGAAAAACATCCCTGAATCCAGGCCTGCTTATGACAGTGGTGGAAGGGGTGGGGGGCAGTGAGATACTTTCAAGAGAAAGGGAAAATTCTTCTACCTCCTTACTATTCTCCTCCTGTGCATTGTCTTCTAATATCTCTTTTCTACTCACGCCTTGAAAGGTTCAAGATCTAGGAGGTAACAGGCCAAGCAAACAAATGTTTCTCATCATTCATTGATTCAACAAGCACTTCTGTAGTGAGGCATGCCGCTAGGCACTGGGCACATGGACAAGCAGGAGGCAAGCAGGAAACATCAACTAAGGTGGGTGTGATATGGTAAAACATACGGTTCCTATAAGAATACAGAACAATCACACTCAAGTCAGTTTTGGGAGGTCAGAGAACATGATAGCTATCACAGATGAGTATCATGGCTTGAGCTAGAGGGATAAGGAGAGGAAGGAGATGTCCATACTAGGGGTTTCAATGCCTTTGCCCTTAATCATGTTCTTAAACCATTATGGGATATTACCTCCCCATTACCTCCCCTAAAGGTCTTGTCTACCCAATTAAGTATCCTTTGTATGGCACAAACTCTGCTGGGTTCTAGAAATTAAAAAAATGCATAATATAGCCCCCTATCTCAAGAAACCCATGGTCTCTATAGCTTATCTGGAGAGTATGTACCCTGACTAATGATATTAAGATTAAAAATGATATCAAAGAAAATAGCCTGGCTAAGATTCAAATTTTGAAAACTAAATTTGTACATAATTTTACAAATAAACAGAATCTATCATGCAAAGATCTTATCCATCATTTTTGGCCATTGACAGCTAAGCAGAGCATCACAGGGACTCTGCTTTTCATAATCTATGCTGGTGAACTTGGTCTCTTTGATATGTGAGGAGTCATATACAATCTCAAAAGGCCTCAAGGAATATTGGGGTTTCTTCTTCATTTGGTTATTCAAAGTTTTGATACTTCTTAATGTATGGAGATGCTCTGCTGGATATTAAACGTGTGTATATTTTTTTTTCCAACAAGAGAAAAAGAAGAAAAATCACCTTGAATGAAGAGTGTAAATCACTCTTGAGTGCTACAAGGCACTCAGGGTATCTATAAGAAGTAAACAGGCAGCTTTGTCCAGCCAGACTCCAAGAGATGGAATAGATGTGGGATGGTCAGAGTTCTGGACCTGTAAGGGCAGGGAAATGTGAGCTCACAGTGCCACTGGGTTCTGAGGGCTGTCTGAGACTTGCCAGATGACAGTGGGAATACTGCTCTAAATGGGATCATGCTGGTAGCAGTGACATAGTTAGAAGAGGAC